ATCCTGTTATCATAAAGTTTACTCCAATCAATGTTGTTAAAATTTACATTATATAACTGAAAAAGGACAAATGAGATGACTTGAACACATGATATGACACTGGATTGACCCCTTAGAAAACTTAAGTCATGACTGAAAAATTTACTTGGTGATATATTAACATTGATACACCCACACACAGAGGTGAAATCAAGCCACACCATACCACCTAGTTCATAAAGGTTTGGAATGAAGCAGAACACAATCAGTATATAATGTTTGAGATTGGGTTGTTTAATTGTATATAATGTTGGACTGAACTTAATTGAAAACTTAAGGGGCAGGGCGGGGCGTAGGGGGGCATTTAACAAGAACGATGTGAACAGGGAGCATTTAAAATTAGGACCGAGAAATAATCAACAAGACCCAAAACTGTGCATGTAATAGCTTCTGCATCATCAAATGTTTTTCAAAGAAGCAAGTACATCAGCAAAAGCATGCATTAAAGATCCCTGTAACTCAACATGAGCACAGGCATGATCCTTGTAACTCAACATCCATAATAGATGAAATTTTTACTTCCACATGCTCTTTGTGGACATTAGAACGACTTTTACTGCATGAAAAACTTTATAAATAAGTAAATATGACATCGAATTTATGCACACCAAGTACTATGAAAAAAGGTCTCCTTTGCCAATATAGTTCTAAGTTCAATATTGAGCTATCTACAAAATAGTTTTTCTTTTTACCAAAAAGTAGAAGCAAAAATGTGACATACCCCATGCTGTGAATTCGTATTCCAAGTGCTTCCTTGCTTGCAACTGATCGCTTCTTAACAATGAAATCTAAATATTCTTCAACCCTAATATCTTTATTTTCACAAGTATCCATGAACTCAGAAAGTAGAGATATCATCTCCCCACTAGTTATCTTAAAGACTTCAGTTGTGTCAGACTTCACTGAGAAATAATGCATGACAAGTGGATGTCGCAACAAAGGGCCCAATCCCAGCTCTTCAAACTGCTCAATTCCCTCATTCTTGCAGATTGCTACTTCCAAATCATACAATGAAGTAATTCTTCGAACCCCAACAAAACAATGGATAAATGCATTTATCTAAATTCCAATAGAAAATACGTAAATATTGATGGGATTTAATACATAAAGAAACACAAACCTCATAAGATAAAATATAAAAATACATAAAATTTCAACATTGTATCTCATGCTTCATTTGGTTGAAAAAAGAAGAGAAAAGAAATAGTTGCATGTTCCTTGCGCTTGCAAAAGGGTCAAGCCCTTAGTTGCTCTCGCCCAAATCAGAAATATAACTTCTTAAACCCCCCACCCCAGCGGGGGCAGTTACTTCATGCCATGCTTGCGCTTGCTTATACATATCTATGCATGTAAGCATACAGCTGAAGACGGGGACCATTGGTGTATAATATGCAGTGTTAATGATGTCATAAGATCAGCTCGCATCTCTTTTAAATCATCATCAATTCCCTTTTCATATATATAAATAATAATAAAAATAACGTTCGTTAAACAATCAAGTATGTTTTTCCCAAAACGAAGTGTTTTCAATAAATTCCTAACAGGCAAACCAAGTGTATTTTATTATAAATGAAGGTTCTCTTCTTATATCAATTACAATTCTTTTCCCACACTTTCTTAGCAACCAAACAAAGCATTAACGAAACTTGATTTTTAAAAGCAAAAGGAAGAGAGTAAAAAAGGGCAGGGATGGAGCCATTACCTTCCCTTCAGTGAGCATGAGGCGGTGCATAGTCGGCACTTGCTGCATTTGAAACCCCAGAGAACTCCAGCAATCAACCTTGAGCATCAGAAGCGCAGACTGCGAGACCTTCCACGCCGAGACGTTCTCTCCAGCAGCGGCATGTTCGTCGCGAGCCTTCCCCACGGCGCGGTCGATTTTCTCGAGCATATCTCTCGAGTTCGGAGGCCGAAACCCTGCCGGGTTCGAAAACTGCTGGGGAGGAGGATTAAATCCAGGGTTTTGGACAGCGAAATTAGGGCTTTGGATTGGGAAATTATTAGGAGGGAAGTTTTGGTAGGGGTTGTGGGCATTGTGGGGTATAAAGGGGGGGTTTGAAGGATAAATATACGACGAATTGATGGGGTTTTGCAGATAGAAATTAGTGCCTTGAGGTTGCTGCGGCGGCTGACCCCATGCGCCGCCGGAGGAGCTAGAAGGGCGTCCGTACATGGTGATGAAGAAACAGGGTGAGAGAAGTAAACAGCCGGGTGTACTGAGTTTTGTTTATTGTTTGGAGGGAGTTTGCAGGGTTTGCACCCAGAAGCATCTACGTCCCCGGGAGCTTTGTTTCAATGGATGTTTTTTCTGTAGTTAGGTTAAAGCTCTGTTCTTTCAGTGTATGCTTACTTGGCTTCCTCGGTTCTTTCTAAAAAAACAGGTCGTTATATAACGCCAATGTCTCTTAGGGCTACAACTCAGTCGGTTAACGTATGCGGGCTCCCGATATTTTTGTTTTTGTTTTCTTCAACAAAATAATTATCTAAAAAATTCATTTTTTTTTTATAAGATTATAAAACGTTAAAAGTCACTTTTGGTCCATATAGTTTGACACTTCAATCATTTTTATTCCCGTCAATTTCTTTGACGGTGCAAAGGGTAATTCACCAACCCAAAACCCTTAAGCATAAAAGCTCATTTGAAACTCTCCCCATTTCATATTAGGACTTGAAATTGGCCATTTAAGTTTAGGATTTTTCAAAAATTGGGATTAGTGGTTGAATTTTGAGCCCTTATATAAAATGGGGAGAGTTTCAGACGAGCTTTTATGTCAAGAGTTTTGGGTTGACGAAATTGCCTCTTGCACCGTCAAAGAAATTAACAAGAATACTAAGGGGGCGTTTAGTATCCTATTCAAATATGGCACTCAAAAACTTTGATTTTTCTTAAAAACAATAAGTTCTTAAATCTATTTTTAAGATTCAAAAACTTGTTTGGTATGCAACTTGAAAACTGTTTTCAAATCTTAAAAATTTGAGAATTTCTGGATTGTTAGAAAAAAACTGAAAAAACATATATTTTTTGTTTTTAATAATTGGGGTGTTTTTTAGTTGTTCTTGAGTTTGAGTTTTTAAAAATACCAAACAGGTTTTCTTTGTTTTGGACTCAAATTCAGTTTTTGAGTTTAACTTGTCCTTAAATTGCTACAAATAGGAAACTACAATGAAAAAATTGTCGGAATTAAAACTATAGGGTCAAAAGTGGTTGAAGTGTCAAACTACATGGACCCAAAGTGACTTTTGACAAATATAAAAATTCATTATGTAGTACATGACATAAAAAAAAACGTAGATCGTTTTTTATACAAATAATCACACAATTACACCATTAAAACCAAAATATAAATACAAGTTACGATTTAAAATTATGAAGTAAGTAAAAATAATTTTTTCTTTTTAAGTGTAAAAAGGGATTTGTAGCGAAGATGGGGATATGGTGGATTGGGGAAAACACATTCCTTCCATATTTGTCTCTTAGAGCATCCGCAATGGTTACTCAACAATTCATTTTAGTTCAATTTAATAGTTCAATTTATTGAACTTTTTTTGCAGCTATTCAACCATACTACAGTTTCATTTGCAATGGTGCAGTTCAATAACTTACAAATAATAAAAAATATATTTTTAAATGATTGAATAAAATAAAATGAATAAATTTAATTACAATAAGAATTATACAATTAAAATGGTTTCAAAGAGATCTTTAAAAAGAGACCAATTTTGAATATATATAAATTAAGAACAAAATTTTCTATTGAAAAATAAAATTTCAACATAAACAATTTTTTTGTGGGTGTAGGAACTTGTGGGAGAGTTGTTTTCTACGTACATATTTATAGGTAAATGGCTAGCCGTTTGAAAAGGGAACTAGCCATTTGTGTTTTTGAAAAGTGAAATAAATTAGCAATGGCTAGTATATATAATTTTATCCTTTCTCAAAAAGAAAAATTAGCTATCCTTTATTTTTAAGTGAAACAAATCAGTAATTGATAGCATATATATATTAACTATATGTTTGTTTTTTTAAATAGTAAAATAAATCAGAAACGGCTAGTTGCTTTGAAAAAAAAAGTAGCGTCTAGTTTACACTAATTAAATGTAATGGAAAAATTAAAAAGTAAACAGTAATAAATTTCATTGAAATAAATTTCATTTCAGAGTTCATCTTATTGACTTCTAAAATGAACTGTTGATCCTCGAAATGAAATATTGATATATGAAATAAACTGAACTTTACCACTGCAAGTCAAAAATTCAATTTATTGAAATAAAATTGAAATGACCCTCATCATTACAGATGCTCTTAAAACGGAGTTTTACGTGAATTGGGAAAAAATTGCCGTCCTTTCAGGTTTTGCTTCACTTCTGCCAGAAGGTTAAACAACGCTTATTAACATGTCTTTACTATTCAAATTTTGTCCAAGTCCAACTTCTGACCCTCGAAAAAAAAGAGCCCGACTTGTGAACATAATTTATTATGTTGGTGTATGGGCATAGTTTCGCCCTCGGCCTCAAATTGCACTCCAAACAATTTAGACCTCAAACTAGTAGTATAATCAAAATAAAGTATTCCATTTGGTGACCAAGTTGGTTCATAAGTAATTAAACAAATGTCTCTTACATGTGTCAAAGTGGCAAATATTTATTGGTTCCATGGAATAAATGAAGATATAAGGTCACTAAGCTTTATTAGAGTAAACTAAAATCTCGATAAGTTTATCAACTAGCCATTAGTTTAGTGGTAGTTGTGATGAGTTTTATACTTGATTTTGGCTAATTCCATTGTAGAGTGTGTTGACCCGTTGTAAAAGTTTTTAACAAATATCATATTGTTTATAAAAATAAAATAAAAACTCAAAGGATTTAAGTAAAATTATCTCTTAAATTTGTGCAAAAGAGAGAGCAAAAAAAAGGGGAGTGTAGTGAGGAAATTTTCCAACAAAATTGCATTGGCCCTCGAGGTTTTTGGTCAAGCTCCAACCCAACCCAACCCAAAAACCTCCCTTCTTTTTTAACTCTGAAATTTTCCACTCTCTTAAACCCTCTCTCTGGCACAGAGACAACACTCAACAATGGCGACCACCTCTCGCTCACTGTACCGTACACTGCGCCTGCGGTCCTTCTCCACGAGCACGAAGCCGTCGCACCACAACAGCCACCAGCAGAATCACCAGTACACAGATCCCAATTCCTTCATCGGGTGCTGGGAGGCCCCCAAGGACCCCAAGGAGGCCGAGGCCAAGCTTGCGCAGCTCCGCAGAGACTACGCCAAGCAGGTCAAGGAGGTCCGCAAGGAGTACATCCAGGAGGTCGAACTCATGAGGCTCGAGAAGCTTCGCAAGGACGAGGCTCGTAAAGAAGCCCTTAGGCTCCAAAATGAGGAGCGTAAGAGACTCAAGGCTGAGGCTGCTAAGGTCCGTGCCCAACAGCGTGAGGTTGCTGAGCAGGAGTTCCGCCAGACCCTGGTATGTGCATTGGGCTCTTTCTCTCTCTCTCTTTATGTGGTTTTGATTTTTGTTGCGGTGTTTGGTTGATGGGAAAGTGTGGGAAATGGAAGGGGAAGTTTGTTGGGTCTGGAATTTGATTTGAAACCTAGATTGTGGGTTTTGCTGTTTAGGGGTTATTTGGTTCGGTAGCTGTGGAAATGGGAGAATTTGGGTTGGTGAATTTTAAAGTGTTTCCTGTTTATTACTAAGAAGATATGGGAAAGGGAACATGAGTTTTTTCTTTTTCCTAGTTTGACATTGGTTTGAAACTTTGTTATGTAGCTTCAGGTTTCCTTCAAATTTAGCCTTCTTTTTCGTTTTGATTCTCTGTTTTGTGATTTTTGAAATTGGGGGGGGGGGGAGGAGAAAAGTTGAGTTATGGGATCTTTTCGGTTTAGATTTGTTGTATCTGACAAATAATTGGGAAGATAAAGAGAAGAAAACTCAGAAGAGAGGTTTGAGTCTGAAAAAATTTCGGTTTATTGAATTCAGATCTAAAAAGTGGTAATGCAAATCGACAACACATATTTTTTTAACCAAGGACGAGTAATTAGGACTTAGCACAGACTCATATGTTAGCGTATTTGTTATTGAAATGGTTTAAGGGAAGCCAAAGTGAGTTGGATAATTTCAGTATCTTGCATTTCGCCTCTTTTGGGAGAAGCACAATAAATTTTGGTGGGGGAAGAAGGCAGAAATTTTATGGAATTGTAGTGTGCTGGCTGTGTTTTTGGTGATGCGGATGGAAAAATATAGAAGGATTTTCAGATATTATAGTGGGAAGGAGGTATTGTGGGGTAAAGTCGGATTCTGGACATCATTCTGGGCCTCAAATTCTTTAGAGTTTTGGGACGTACTATTTTATCTCCTTTTGCGGAATGGAGGGCTGTTCTTTAAATTTCAGTTTTGGGTGTATTGATGCAACACAAGTATACTGTATGATAGTTATCAATTGGTGATTGTTTTTGTTGTTTTGCTGTTAGCGGACAACTTATCCACTCACAGTACCGTAATTTGTTTCAATTAAAAATATTCCCTCAGTAAAAACCAAATAAAAATTCAAACCTTACTGTAGTTGAGTTCACAAACTTGACATAATAAGGCTTAATGCATGTGGAGCTGATAGATAGTAGTGATCTTAGATCACTCCTCTGGATCTCCTCAGTGTTACAATCCTAAGGGGTAGGGGGGTACCCCAGGCTCTTTTGCCCTTACATGCATTCTTCTTGTTTAACCATGATTGAAATTCTGGTTTGGAATCTTTTTAGAATGTTGTCTGTGTTAGTTACAATTCCTGTACCAACTGAAACTTACGGAAATGTTCGTAATCATTGATTTCATGAACTAGAGCAATATAGTTGTTAGTGGTGTCTACATTATACTGTGCTAACATGAATAATGAGGATTAACAAACTTTTAATGAACAATATCAATTGTCAGAGGCTCCATTGATCATCTAAAGAAAATACATTCATAGTGTTGTGGGGTGGAGTTGTAGTTTTTTCTTTGGGGTACAAGGTGTCATCATTTTTAAGTTCTTAGGCGGGCTCTAGGATTAAAGTACTCATTTTAGAGTGCACTTGGTGTTCAAGCTTTTCTAAATGATTCTCTCCTCTTGTAGTCAAGATCTCACTGTCTATCTTAAAATAGAAAGTGTATCAGTTGTGGATGCAAGTTCCTTTCACCTGGTTTTTGTACTGACATCGGGGATTTGAGCTTTCTTTAAGTATGCAAATATTTGAATATCTGATGTAAAATATAATGAGAATTGAGTTGATGCTCATTCTCATATTCACATGTCTAATGTGACAATTATATACTTGAATGCAATTCATCTATGTCCAGGAGAGAGAGAGAGAGAGAAAAATATTTTTTTTATTAATAATTTTTCTTTTCATACAGCTTCTGTGTTTCTTTCACTTGCATGTCTTACATGTTTTGATTTGTCTAAATGCACAGTTGAAAGAAAGAGCAGAGAAGCTTGAGAATTGGAAGATGAAGGAAAAAATGAGAGAAGAGAAGAAAAAAGAGAAGAATGAACTGTTGCGACGTCAGAGTTCCTTGTGGATCAATGAACCAGAGCTGGAAAAGAAGATTTTAGAAGCCATCGTTGATACTACACCCCTTTGAGTCCATTTTATTTCCAAATTGTCTAGTGGTGCTATCTTACAGTTTCACCGTATAGACAAAGATAATCAGGACTTAGTATGTTTTGTACCCAGTCTCTATGTTTTCTATTTTCTTTTCACCATCCACTAATTTCCCAACCACATTCCTTTTCCTTCTTCATATTTTAATAAGATCTGTATACTTTCTAATCAGGGCATAGTATATTTTGTACCCAGTGTATGTTGAAAATTTTGGAGGTCAACTGCAATTGTGATGTCATTGACAAATTTGCTAGCAAATATGGGAACGCAGTTATTTTGCCTTGCCTTAACTTCCACGGAATCCTCCTAAATTTAGTGAAACTTTGATTAAGTCAAAGTTTAGAGACTGTTGATTCTAGGAACTTGGCATCAACAGGATTTAGGTGCGAATGCGAATCGAATAGTGCAATGAACTCAGTTGGAACTTGGAACGCCATTTCGAGTTCAGATTTCAGAAGGGATATTAAGCAAATGCAAATTGAATAAAAATTTAGAGCAAATGCAAATTGAATGAGGGCGCATCTTTAACATTGAGCCAATTTACCTGCTGATGAGGTTTGAAGCCTTAGCCCTTGAACGCCATGTAAAT